TAAATAAAAAAAGGGGTGTGGAAATAAATAAAAACCTCGTATTTATGAAATACGTTTTTTACAAAATTTAATTGAAAAACGTATTTCATGAATACGTTTTTCTTTATAAAAAATTCTGTAAAAACGTATTTCATGAATACGTTTTCCAACCAAATTGTGAAAAAACCGTATTTAGTGAATACGTGTTTTTTATTTTGTTCCACTTCCTCCTTTGTTTTTTGTTTTTTGTCCACTTGTTTTTTATATATTAATAAATATATAAATTGCTCCGTATTTTGGTCAATTTTTTTTTTTAAACTTTAACAATTATTTTAACGCATTTTGAGGTATCATATGATTAAATAAAAGATATCACTAGATAGGCCGAGTCGAGAACTTCAAACAGTATATGATTTGTTGGAATTCACCCCAAGAGGTGGTGGCGACAGATAGTAGAAGGCGACAACAATTAATATTAATATTTTTTTAAAGTTAGAACTAAAAACAATTAATTTTAAATTTTTTAATAACCAATTAAGTTGGTCCCTTGAGTACAAAAGAGAAAATGTGGTATATTTGGACTCGTATTTGGAGTATCAAAATAAAATTTTCCCTCGTATAAATAATTAAATATACAGTTCTTTTACTTGTCAAACAAGAACAGGCTGAACAATTCGATTCCTTCTCTTCCCTTTGCCTCCCTCTTGTTTCCTAAAAAAACATAATTAACGACAGAGAGGGAGCTCTCTCTCTCTCTCTCTCTCTCTCTCCTATGTGTGCGTTTTCCCATCACTCTCTGATCCTTCGCAAAATAGGAATTAAGTAAAAGGAGGGTCTTTACCTTTTCAAGTGGCTCAATGGGAGAGAGAGTAGAGGAAAAAGATAAAGGGGCTTTAATGGTGGATGGGTTAATTGAGGGTATGCCTATTTTTGTCAAAGAGCTAATCGCGGGTGGAGTGGCTGGTGGGTTTGCCAAGACTGCTGTTGCCCCTCTTGAGCGCATCAAGATACTTTTCCAGGTAATCATTCTTTGTCTTGTTCGTTATATCTGATTTGGGATGATAAAAAATCCATTTTGTCTTGTCTTGGTTGTTACGGGCTTTGAGTATTGCATTGGCTTGTGGTTCAGTATAATCGATCTAGTTAAGCAGGCCGATCGTCGTGTTTTCTTGTTCAAGAAGGTAATGGTTTTGTCTTTAATTGGGCATAAGTGATGTGAAGAATATGAATCTAGCAATGCTAAGCATCGAAAATTCTATGGAGCCAGTCGGATGGTTTTCTTATGGAGCCCATCCATCACTTAATATATTGACACATGTCGAAAGTGTAGTTATTGTAGGACACGTGTGCTAAACATTACTATAGAGTTACCTCATTCCATCATTTTATAAGTGGAACTTACTAGGATTTTACCATGCTTTTAACTGCACTCCTGTTTCCTTTCTTGATCTAACAGCTTTTCATGTACTTGCTGAATGTTGATTACCCCAAATAATGTATTTTTAGCAAGGTTGTGCATCTTTTTTTTTTTTTTTTTCCTGTTGAATCTACGATTTAGTCGATTAACTTAACTGGATTAGTTTTCTCTCCAAAATAACTCTATAGCCTTATGTAGCCTGCGATTTCCAATCACAATTTGTTATTTCCTAGTTATCGATGCCATGCCCACACGTATTGAGTTGAAGAAATTTATTGTCCTACAAGAAGGTTTACTGGATAATAAGTGAAATTGGTGTTCTATCATGATCTGTCAATGAAAGGTTATTGCTATACAATGAAAGGTTATTTGCATTTGTTGATATGCATAAAACATTGGAGATTATTTTCTTCAGTGCTCTACCTACAGACATTTTTGGCTTATTCAGTAGTCAAGTACAACCATATCTTGCTGCTTAAAAGAATGAATTTTTATACGATCCATATAATTAACTTCTGCTATATATACTTTGCTCCGAGTAGTTATTTTTCAATTAGCTCTGAGTTCATTGAGCGTTAAACAGGGATGAGATGAGTCCATGAACTGAAAGTTATGTTGTTATTTATATATTTTCCCAGACCAGAAGAGCTGAGTTCCACAGTCTTGGCCTGTTGGGATCCTCTTCAAAAATTGCAAAAACAGAAGGGGTGCTTGGTTTCTATAGGTAGCCTTGGCATTTTCATCTATTTATATTTGAAATAAATTAATTCTTTTCCTCATTTGATACTTTCACAAATCATCAATTTATATTAAATGTGTGTGGTTGTGGTTATTCTTAGAGGGAATGGAGCTAGTGTTGCTCGTATAGTGCCTTACGCGGCATTACATTACATGGCGTATGAAGAATATCGAAAATGGATAATCTTAGGTTTTCCTGGCTTTGGGAGAGGTCCTGTCCTTGATCTTATAGCTGGTTCATTTGCTGGAGGAACGGCTGTGCTTTGTACTTACCCGCTTGATTTAGTTCGTACTAAATTGGCTTATCAGGCAAGTATAAATAAAACATACATCTTCGTATCACAAAAACATTCTAAGATAATAATAATAATAAAATAAAATAAATAAGAGTTAAGAAAGGGAAAAAAAAAAAACCTTCTTCCCTTATTTCTCACTTTTAGGTTTGTTGACCGGAAAAGATGTCGTATGTTGTGTGGTGATACCACAAAACCTATCCATGTGGATGAGTCTTACAATTTGTTTGTTTGTTTTTTTTTTTTTTTTTTTTTTTTTTTTTGTTGTTGTAAGCTATATAACATTCAGTTCATATAATGTGTTCAATAACTAGTGTATAAACTGATGAATGTAAGTATTTCATCCATTTTCATTTTTGCTTTGAAGGAAAATTGAGCAATGATTTTAATAGTACAGTGCAGATTGTTGGGTCCTCTAAAGTCAGTGTTCAAAGGCAGTCCTCAAGAGACCTAGTGTATAAAGGAATTCGAGACTGTTTTTCCAGCATATACAAAGAAGCTGGACTAAGAGGTCTTTACAGAGGTGTTGGTATGTGGCTGTCGTCCTTTATGGTTTTAAACGAAAAATTTAGCTCGACTTATTTTTGAAAACTCTAATAAATGCCCACATGATGAATTTTTTCAGCTCCATCGCTATATGGAATCTTTCCCTACGCGGGACTAAAGTTTTATTTTTATGAGGAGATGAAAAGGCATGTTCCAGAAGATCACAAAAAGGACATTATGGTCAAACTTGTGTGTGGCTCAGTCGCTGGTTTATTGGGTCAGACTTTCACTTACCCTCTCGATGTTGTCAGGCGACAAATGCAGGTAAGAGTTCATACATTGTCTGATATTTTATGGAAACCACCCCCAAAATTTGATGTATTTACAACAAAACCCAGTCTTTCGAGTTGCAAAACAACCCTTTGTGAGTTTAACTTTATTATATTTATGGGGGGAACTGTAATCATTTCTTAATATGTGACGGTGGTTTTTCAAATTTTTTGTTTATGAATGGGGAAAATATAAGTTGGAATGTTTGTGTTTTTGAAATTTCCATGTGCTTCGTTGTAGATGTCTCAAACTTTAGAGTAGTTTTGTATGTGCAAATTTCATATATTGTACCCCAATTTTACCTCAATTTCACTTTTGGTGTATGAAGTTTCCACTTAATCAGTTTTCGTACTCAACATTTGTCTGTTTTTCACTTTCGATTCGTTCCAATTAGAAGCCATTTAAAATCTAACGGCCTTAGTCAAATTGCTGTTTGCTGCTGCTGCCGGCGGAAAATTTGCAGAAAATCTTAAATAATAATAACAAAGAAATACAGAAAATAGAGCTCCAGTGGCCCATATGAACTCTAAACATAAAATTGATTTGGGGTATTGTGTCTCATGAAAAGAGGAACAAAACAATAGCTCATCAATCAATTTTAGACAACCAAATCATGGGGAATGTACCGATGATTTGGGGTATTGTGTCTCATGAAAAAGAGGAACAAAACAATAGCTCATCCATCCTACTTCCACTTGTTGCCCGATATTAGAAACATTTTCTTACACTGGCGACTAGGAGCTCCGATTGACAATTTGGAGATGCCATTGGATTCCTCAAGAAAGAGAGCTTTCTAAGCATATACTGTTCATGAAAATCAAATGTTTGGATATCCAGTGAATTTTTGATATAAGATGTATTTTTCTTCTTAAAAAACATTAACAATGATTTGAGGAACTTCTAAGTATTATATGAAGGTATTAACAATATCGTTGGATAGATCGAGTCTTGAGATTCAAAATCGTATATAATTAGTTGAGATCCACCTCTGGTATCGGTTGCGCAGTCAACAGTGTTTTTTTTTTACAAAACCTATAGTTTTTAATGAAATGGATCTAAAGTGATTAACGAACGAAACTATAGGTACCAAAAACTAAAAAGATGTGAACTTAAGGTACCATATATGAATTTTTCCCTTTTTTTCCCCTGATCAGTAGATACGTAGAATATTATACATGTGACTTAAAATTAACGATAAAAAGAGCATTTTAAATGAAAGCTCGGGTCTTGCCAGGTGGAGAGGCTCGTGACGTCTAACAACAACAATGCAACAAGAGGGACTATAGAGACACTTATCATTATCCTCCGAACTCAAGGATGGAAGCAGTTGTTTTCTGGGCTCAGCATCAACTACCTTAAGGTAAACCAGTAATGAAGTTTCTGATTATCAAACTTGTTTTTTATTATTATTTTTTTTCATGTGTCATGGATACTTAACATATTGCAATCTCAGGTTGTACCTTCTGTAGCCATTGGATTTACCGTTTACGATGTTGCCAAGGCATACCTACGGGTGCCATCAAGAGATGAGACCGTGGCTGAAGTTGTTAATAATAACCAGAAAATGATTCAGCCATCTTCTCTGCCGTCTCCAACTTCTTTGTCTGAAACTCATCAATAGTCATATATTATTTGCTATGCGGGGATTTCGTTTCCCATTCTATTTTCCGGCTCATAGGACCATTTAGGTTGGTTATATATATTACATTTCTTGAAAATGGGTGCAGGCATGACCTTGTTTCAATAAGAAGTCATGCCCCATGGATGTTTGAGATGATACGTGGAGGTGGAGAAGCCTTCAGTTGATTGTGTACAACAATTTGTGCAGAATTAATAGAGATTTGGTGAAAGCTTGCACGTACTGTGTGTGTATGTTGGTTCATCCATTCAATTTGGTAGAAGTAATGTTGTAATAGAAACTAACGGGTTAGGCTTTAGCATTCCGAGCTCATGTTAGATAATGTCTGGTTCGTGTTTCTTAGTTTATTGTTCGAGCAAAAAGTTCGTATTCGACCTCGTTACTTTGGTTTAATAAAGTTGAGTTTTTTTTTTTTTTTTTTTTTTTTT